GGGGATTTTAGACCCAGAGAAAGAGAGGGGCTGTGTGCTGACGACTAGGCGGCAGGCTTGCAGGGTATACCTTTGGTTGGTTGATAATGCACGGAGGGGGTTGTAACCATGGCAATGAAACGATATTCAAAAGGATGATTGTGAAGCTAATGTTCTCCCATGTAAACCATCACATAATTCACAATAAAAACACTAAAAAAAAAACCCAAAGGGGATGAACAAAAAGAAAACCATACCTAGGTCCATTAAACAGAAAAGAAGGTCCTGCCAACACTAACCAACACACTACAGTGTGAACAAATTTTGAAAACATGCAGAGAGCAGTCAGCCCCAAAAGGACAACTATTGCATGATCCCACCTACATGAAATACCTAAAACAAGCAAATGCATAGAGACCAAAGTGGCTATCAAGGCTGGGAGGAGGGGAGAAAGGGTGACTCGCTGTATAGGGAACCCTTACAGGTGAAGGAAAAATTTGGAAAAGGAATAGTGGTAGCGATTGAACAAAATGAATATGATTAATATGCATGGGAAAAATGCCAAAACAGCAAATGTTTTATAACGTATACTTACCACCATAAAATAAATAAAAATAAATAGAAAAGGAAGGAAACAAAGCGGGAGACAGGAGGGAAGGCACAAAGAAACAAGGAAAATGGAATCTTAAAAGCAAACAGGAGTGAGAAAATAACAGAGATTACCTTCAAAGGAGCAATAATTAGTCTTGCTCAACCTTGGAGCAAGAAGACAATAGACTGATATATTTGGAATTGAAAGAAAAGAGCAGCCAACCTAGGATTCTATACTTAGCAAATGCATCCTTCAAAAATGAAGGTGACCCACAAGGACAATATTCTGTATCCTACTTCAGTGAATAGTGTCTGGGATCTCAGAAGCTCACAAGTGGTCATGAGATGTAGCTCTTGTCTTGTTCAGATGAAAGAAGAGTAATGAAAATTGAAGATGATTGGGAATAATTAGTCCAAAGGACTAATGAATCATGTGAATAGCAGTCTCCCCAACCCCGAGACCAGAAGAACTAGATGGTGACTAACTACGATGACCAACTGCTCTGAAAGGGATCACGATAGAAGGTTCTGGATAGAGTGGGAGACAGATGTGGAACAAAACTCAAAATTATAAGAAAGATCAGGCTTACTGGTCAAATACAGACTGGAGAACCCCCATGGTTTAGCCCTTGGCCACCCTTCATGCCTGGAGCTGAATTTATCCTGGTGGCTCAATTTTCAGCCAAACAATAGGTAGGTATAGCGTGGCATTACAATTTACAATAAGGTGATTGCAACTGGGACTCAGCGAAGCGCATCATTTCTTGAATGCAAAAACTAAAGATTTGCTCTGTGAACCTTCACTCAAGTCACAATATAAAGTTTTAAAAAAAGGAATGGAGGTGAAATGAAGACATTTTACACAAATGAAACAATTAAAAGGCTCCATCAGCAGCAGACCCACACTGTCTTTAATTCTTTTGTTGTTGTTAAGTACCATAGAGTCACAGAAGCTCCGACCCACAGCGACCCTGTATAGAGAACCCGAGGCTGTAAATCTTTACAGCAGTAAGAAGTCTCACCCTTCTCCCATGGAGCTGCTGTTAGTTTCAA